ATGTATGTATATATATACAGTTTTAATTATTTATTTTCTATGTTTATTTCATAATATATTAAAATATATATATTATTAGCATTTTGTGCACATATTATTTTACTTTAGTTTATATAATTTGTTATTGTTATATCATTTTATTTATTTATTTTATTCATTTTTTATTGTCAGATTTTAGAACTCAATTTACACTAATTATAATTATGGCTTGCAGTCATTTGAGAATTAATGATGCTGTTAATCACAAATCAGTGTTTGGTGAGAAAATCCTTAAATGAAGATCGTTTCAATGTCCTAAAAGAAGAAAATTTAAGACATTTAAATTGTTTTCATGTTTTTGTTGTTGTTGTTTTAACAAGTCAGAGTTTGATTGTTTAATTTTCAAATAATGTATTCTTTAAATTAAAATTATGTATTTTTTTATAATTTCATAAAAACTACAGTATATATAATGAAGTGTGTAAAAAAATATTTTTTAAATAAAAAAGCATTTTTGTGCATATATTGTTAATTTATCTTAATTGATATAAACTCTTTTTTTTTTTTAATAATCTGCATTGAAGTATCCATGACACTGACATCAGGAAATCTTCTCCCAACTGTACTGCAGTGCGAATCGATTCGTCCAGCACTGAAGCTCAGGTCTGCTCTAACTATACGGACCCTCCACCCCAATCCACCGCCACCGCTTTACTGTAAAAGGCCTTGATTAATTATTTAAACTAAGTGGATGCATTTCCATCTCCACTGTGCCTACACTTCTAAACTGCTCTGCTTGAGGAGAGAGTCGGGCATAACAACCAGCTCTTTAGGCATTCAAGAACAACACTGAGAGTTTGTTTACAGCATTTGAAAGGAGAGCCTTTCTGATACTCCATAACACCCTTCAAAAACTTTACAAGAGTTTTGAGTCTCTTAGTGTATGCTTGTGTACTCGCTGTTTGGCTTTTTTTTGGCACTGGATATGAATTACTACTGGGGAAAATGATTCATAGATGCATTGTGATTTCTTTCTCAAATGATTCTGGAATGATTTTCAATTTATAATAGTTTGATAATTTAAATAAATTATTAATAATTGGTTATTTAAATTAAAAACAATTGTACTACATTACGGCTTTTAGGTAGCTAAAATTATCTATTTAAATATCTATTGTCAAAATTAACACATGCGATTAATTTATTCAGTTTAACAAGTTAAAAATATTTAAAGGGGTCATATGATGTTGCTAAAAAGAACATTATTTGGTGTATTTGGTGTAATGAAATGTGTTTATGCGGTTTAAGGTTAAAAAAACACATTATTTTCCACATACTGTACATTATTGTTTCTCCTCTATGCCCCGCCTTTCTGAAACGCATCGATTTTTACAAAGCTCATCGGTCTGAAAAGCGAGGTGTGCTCTGATTGGCCAGCTATCCAGTGCGTTGTGATTGGCCGAATACCTCAAGCGTGTGACGGAAATGTTACGCCCCTTACTATATTGTGATGCAGTCTCCCGGCACGACCAGACAAAACTAATAAAACCCATTACAAACGAGGCATACTTTCACAACGAAACACACAGCGTCACACATGGCGGCCTAGAGTGACCGGTGACCGGCAGATTCGACGAAGGAGCGTGAGATGTTTTCAGGCCATATGTCAGTAAAAAACAATTTTCATGTCCTGTCAGCCATTGTACTGTGCTCATTGCGCGTGCTCTTCAATTGCACGCACAAATACAGCGGCGCGCACTGTAGCCTGGATCACTTTATATTAAAGCGCAAATGAAACTACGAGAATGCGTGTCAGATCTCTGTCACGTTCAGCAGCGGTAGCTCTTAAGGTAATAGCAACCAAATAGCCTAATAACCCAGCAGCTGTGATGTCTGTTAATTAAAGAACAAAATAAAAAAGAGGAAATAAGTAACTTTTGTAGCTTTAAGGACTCATCTATATTTAATTTAGAATTTATCGTTTGGTAACTTAGAGACATCAGTAGTATTGGTATCAGTGATACTCACCTTCAATCATAAAATAGATGCTATTCAATTTCAATTCAAGTTTATTTGGTAGTACATGGACCTCTGGGAACATAATATTTAATTAATTTTAATTATTTGCAATAAGATAGCAATACAAAGTAATACATTGCATTGTTTAACTTTTTTTTTAAATAATAAGAAGAAGAATTATTAATTAAAAATGCAAAAACGGCTAGCTGGGAACGTTTTTGAAAGTTGATGTACAGTTCGAACTGAGTAATAGAAATTTTACACTCAAGATTTTACACTCCTGAAGTTCAAATCAGACACTATTAAATCATTCCTCTGTATCACAAAACCTGATTAGAAATGATCATCAAACTTAATCAAACTAGAAAACGTAATGGACAGAAAAGCATGATCACAATAACAATTATTTTATATTGCCAACAAAATCATGAATATAAAACAAATATTCAGTTACTTTGTTTCCAATTTGCGTTACCAACTTGATCCTGTTGCGAAATCTTTCGCCCTCACACAAAATTCCCAATCGCATGAATTTCTTATTAAATGACTGGATTTTGCTCACGAAAATTTGCCAAGTAACAGGAAATCTGACCACACATGTATGCTGTTACTGAGAACTTCTCGCATATCAAGCAATGAGAATCAGTCTGGAATCGAATCGTGATTCTTTGAATCAAATGAATCGCAAGTTGCCTACAGGTTACAGATTGTAGGTCAGCAGAAATCAGATTTCCAAGTTTCCACACTCAGCTTGATTTTAGTCTTTGTTGTTGTTTATCATCTCAAACTCTTCATTCAGACTGGTTTTCCTCACACTGCCCATTCCGCTTAGCTCTGCTGGACAGTGTGGTGTGAATCTCCAGGCTCGCGAGGAAGAAGCTGGTCTATCTGGTAGTCATGGAGACAGAGGGTCGCCATGGACACCACGTCCGGCCTCAGTTCCTGTCTGTCCCTGCTTTCACAGAAGCCTCCCCACCTCCTCTGTTTTCCAGCACTTAACTGGGTCATTGCTATCATACTCCATTCCTGAGATCAGATTGGTTGGGAATTGTCCTTGAGCCTTTTTCAACCTGTTGCTTGAAGACTCGAGGGACACATTACGGGCCCACCAACATCTGAACCCAGTTGAGCAGCGTGACATGGTTTACTCGAGCGAACAGGGACACTCTGAGCCTCGGGACTTGTTTTTAGGAAACGTCATTTAGATGTAATTGGGTTACACATTTGTGTCTTTGTCGAGGTTCCAGGCTAAAACGAGAGAGACAGTGTTCAGAATAGCTACTACTATGATACTTTTTAGAAGTATGGAGAACATATTACTGGTGTTTTTATATCATAATGGTTGATTTTATATATATATATATATATAATAGCAATTTCTGTAATTTAATCAGACATGTTTTAGAGTCAGATAAGCATCAGAAATTGTTAAATACTTTGCTAATAGTGACTACGAGGAATGTGAATCTTTGGAGTGACAGTGAATCAATTCCATTCATTGGGTTTTGATTTGATTTAGTCATTTTTAGGTCAATACCAAGCTGCTTTTTGTTGGTCAACATGATTAACTTAAACCTCTTGCAAAATCTGCTTGGAGAAATATTTTCGATCATTCGATTCCCGATTGCATGGATTTGGGAAATGATTGGATTTCGCCTGTGAAAGTTTGGGGGAAATCCAGTTGAGAATACATTTGGAATCAGATTCTTTGAATCATGTGAATAATGTCATTACTCACCCTCAGGCCATCCGAGTAGATGAGTTTGTTTCTTGATCATGTTTGCAGAAATGTAGCATTACGTCACTTGTTCGCTAATGGATGCTTTTGCAGTGAATGAGTGCCGTCAGAATGAGAGTCCAAACAGCTGATAAAAACATCACAATAATCCACACCACTCCAGTCCATCAATTAACATCTTGTGAAGCGAAAAAGAAACAAATCCATCAAGACGTTTTTAACTTCATACTGTTGCTTCTGACTAAAATATGAGTCCATAATAACACTTACTCCAGGGAAGAAGTCATCTCGTCTGAATCAGGTGAGAAATATGCACAGATTAAACACTGTTTATAATTCAAAATAGTCTAAAAACATGCTCTAAACAAATATGTTGGTGGATTTTGATGTGAGAGGACAACAGGAGATGGACTTTTTCACTGGGGGAAGTGTGATTATGGATTACAGACTCATATTTTGGCCAGAAGTGATTTTTTTAAGTTAAAAATATCTTGATGGATTTGTTTTTTTACAAACACACATTTTTTCACTTCACAAGATGTTAACTGATGGACTTGAGTCGTGTGGATTACTTGTGGATTATTGTGATGTTTTTATCAGCTGTTTGGGCTCTTATTCTGACGGCACCCATTCACTGCAGAGCATCCATTGGTGAGCAAATATTTTCCCTTGAAGAAACAAACTTTTCTAAGTATTTTCATTTTTGGATGAACTATTACTTTAAGAGTTAAACAGTTTTTTTTACAACAGTCTAACAGGATAAATAAACATTTTTAATGAAAGAAAAGGAAACAAATGAAGAAACACCTGGAATATTATTTTAATAAACTGTCAGTTTGTCA